AGAAACTCAGAGTAGAAGTCCCGCCTAGCCTTATTCATCAAATAGGTCACATGGTTTCTCTTTGACTTGAAATCAAGCAGATAATCGGCAGCCTTTGTCTTTCTCCATTTGCGTTCTGCTTTCTTACGCTCTCGCTTAGCATTGTCGATAGTTTCAATGTACCAGGGTACGACAGGTCTGGTAACTCTTCTGCGTGTTTTAAGTGGCGCGTGTCTATCAAGCAGTGCTGATAAGGTGGTAGTGTATTCACGCGCATACGCATCCAAGTCGTCGGCAGTGTGAAACTGTTTGTCATCGCACAGTGAGCAGGCTTGAATATCACTATGAAAGCTGTCTAGGTTTATGGATTTGATTTTTCTGTAGGTGGTGGTTTTTATTTCTGTAGGTGGATTTGATTTTTCTGTAGGTGGTGACTGTCGAGACAGTCCTAGCCTGGTGAACACAGCTTCGTGGTCAGATATAAATAGATCAACCGTTGGCTCATCATCAACAAGTGTTTCCGACTTGCGTGTAATAGATAAATCAAGTGTGTGGCCGTAACGATGTGTTGGTTGCTTAACATGTTGTTGGAGATCAAATGAGTCTAAGAGGTCAAGGAATTTCTGAGTATCTGGGTTCCTACAATCATCCACGTGGATATTAAAATCACCAGTTGTTAATAATCGTTCCTTGCAAAGCAATAATGATTCAAGATAATCTGGGAATTCAGTAAGGAATACATTTGTAGTGACTGGATGGCGCTCAGAGTAGGGTGGTCTGTAGATAATTGCGATACGAATGCTATACCCGCCAGATTTAACAATCCACTCGGAGAATTCATACGAATTTCGCACGCTTACACCAGCGTCAATCTTTTTTACATCCAGCGACTCGTGATAGATGATTCCAGTCCCCCCTCCACGGCGATCTGATCTCGTGTGATCTAGGATTTTGTAACCATTGGGGCAAAGCTCAGCTCTTACAGAAGAGTCGAGATCGGTTAGCCAGTGTTCCGTAAGAGTAACAATGGAAGGTGTATGATCGCAAATATAACAAAAAGTCACAGCAGATTTGTTCCTGACAGATTGAGCATTGATATTGCATGCAACAAGTTGTTGTTTACACCGGTCAGCGGTCATTCGGTTGGAACATTGGATGGTGATCAAGTTATTTCGCGACGACGGTGGACAATAATGAGCAATCTTTAAAAGTTCTGAAATACATGTAAACATTAAGCTTAAATCGTATACAAGAACAACATGTTTTAAATAAAAACATTTTGATAGCTGATTACTTATCTAATCGCTTTTTCACAACACACAAAAATGCAGTATTCATTTGTTGCTGCTGAAGCATCATAGCTTTCATCATTTGCTGTTGACTTTCCTGTTCCTGTTGTTTTGCACATAACTCCTGTTGACTAATTTCGCGGTCAGCGCTGCTTTCTCTCGCAAAAAGTCGACCGGTGGTTCTGCACGTCTCGGCTTACGACGTTTTGGAGAAGCTCCACCTTCGTCTGAATTCCGCTTCTTGGTCTCTTTAACGCTCTCCACCGCTTTTTTCTTGATATCTTCTGCAGTCTCGTTATCCTTGAGTTGCTGTTTCGATGCTGATTCAGCCTTTGCTTGTATGGTATCTTCTCTCTCCACTCCTCGATCAGTGATTCCTTCTCCGTTAACTCTTTCACAGAAATCCCACTTGCCTTCTCTTCCTCGCCCATCTTTTTGCTGAACTTTTTTCCACCGCTCTCGCACAGCTTTTTTACCCTTCAGTTGGAATTTTGGAGAGTGGATTTCATTCAGACTGTCGACTATCGCTTCTCAAGCCAGTCCCACGAGCTGGACTTCCTTTCTTTGTTCCAAAAACGTTTCTTGCTAGCATTTCTCTCAGAAAAAGCACATCATGTTCTTCGCTCCACTCCATCGGCCTAGAGTGAAACAACGCGCAACCAGAGGTAAAACATAATGCAAAATTTTGATAAGAATGAAGAATCAAAGCAGCTAAAACCTTGGCCAAGTAGCTTAATTTACTCACTTGGATTTTTGCACTTGATCATCAGATGCCGCCATATTTAGTCTAAGTCTACAGCTCTCCTTTTAAAATACGATGAATAAAATAGCAAAATACGGTTTTTGATAAATTCATTTAATGCTCTTTTATAAGAGAATTCAACGCTCTTGATTTTCCGGTCTTTTTTTTGCTCATATTCACAGAGTCCGCACAGAACCGTTCAGGTGTAGAACATATAAGAACATTCACAAAATGGTCAATTGACAGCTGTCAAAACACTATAGCCACTGACCAGTATCACATGACCATATCGCAGGCTCATCTGTCAACTCATCTAGGTGAGGTGATTTATTGGGATTTATTTGGAAGCTGTCCGCTGACCAGCTCATTGTTTTACTAGATCGCGATCAATGTTCAATCTCATACTTTCTAGCTAGTTTGAGAGCACACATTAGACATCAATGTTGTCATCAATTGACAGCTGTCAAAACAGGGTATCCGCTGACCAGTATCACTTGACCGTATCGCGGGCTCAGGTGTCGAACCCATCGAGGTCAAGTATTTTTTACGTTATCCGCTGACAAGTTGCTAGTTTTCAGATGATCGCAGGCTCAAGTTTAATTTTTTAAAATTCATATGAAATATGTTGTGTTTTTGTGCCACACAATTAAAATTTTGATTTCAAACTGACCTCAAACGCGAAAATTTAGCCACCTATTACAGGCAGGGAAGACAGTTCCCTTTGACTTTGCTCACCATGGTCACGCTCTACGTCCAATTTTTATGCTCTGATTGGTCAGTTTGACAGGTGAGTTCATGCGGCAAATGTATGCAGCATCTTGAATCATGTTAACTTTGACAGCTGAAGCTGTACCCTACATTGATTTACATGATACAAAAAAGTTAGATAAATATAGAAAAAGTACAGGCTGCCCATAATAACCATTGAGGGCTAAAAGCTCACTTAGGTTTTTTATAAACGATTATATTAAAAGGTCAGGTACTACACACAACACATAGCTACACAAAACATTCACACATACAAAAAAAAAGAGTACAAAAAGAAAGGCAGCAAAAGAAAGCTAAGTATACCAGTATTAAACAACGGAAAGCCATTCTTGCACTAAGTTGTCCGATAATTTATATTCTGTTTCATCCGCTGAAGAAGCACAAAGCTAATCAAAGATTTTGAGACTCGAAAAACTGTAAAACTTTCCCTCTACTAAGACTACAAGGCAAGCAAAGGCTTTGGAGGCACAGGTAAGTAGTAGCTATATTATTATACAGTGGCGGATCCAAACCGTCAGATAAGGGTGGAGCACCCAGACCCTAAGATAAGGGGGGGCCCGGTCTCCTAAAAAATTTTTTTGGCCCTTCGGGCGCGGCCTCAGTTTGGTCTAAAAATAGGAGGGGAACCTGGGCCTCCCAAGCTCCTCCCCTAGATCTGACACTGTTATATACAAAGTGGGCCGTTGACCATAGCCCCACACCAATTTCCCAAAATATCATTTGCTTAGTTCATTGGCACAAGCAAACCTCTTTGAGATCTTAACAGTGTCCATAGAATCCGCATTCAACAGTTGGCCGGGTATGCATAAGTAGGCAGTTGTTCAAACAAAGACTAAAACAGTCCTGCTTCATGGTGCTTCTTGAGTCGTCGGAGGGTAGAAAACGTGCGCCCTGGAAGCTACAACTGGTGTTCGATAAAATCTTAACATTTCCACTTGACCAATTTTGGGTTGAGACACATGGCTGCGGTGGTGGTAGGGGAGGGGGGTGGGGGCAGGCATCCCCCTGCAATTTACATTAAAGGCAATTCCCTTTCAGGCAAACTGAGCTATGACTGTGGCTGAGTTTGTCTAAATGGTAAGCAATTATATTTTGCATAGTATTGCCACAATTTGTAATAGCAATGACTTTAATATTTTACAGTGAAACCTCTGTTAAGCGGGCCCCCAATTAAGCAGACACCCAGTCTTAAGCGGACACTAAGCTGGGTCCTGAAACGGATGTCTGATATTTCCCTTTATAACAAACCCCTATTCAGCGGACACCTCTATTAAGCAGATGCGGACACTAAAATAAGTTGTATTTGGCTAATTTTTTTTTGTTAAAAACCTCTATTAAGCAGACACCTTAAAATACGTCCTTAAAATACGTACTGAAGTCAGTTAATGTTTTTGAAATTACCAACAAATTAAAGTTGGTAATGAAAGGTAATGAACTTGAACCATGGATAGCTACTTTAACAACATACAACTTTTTCACAGTACAGAGTAACCGTTAAATGTTGATCGTTAACAAACATTGTGCAATTTTTAAAGCCTCTATTAAGCGGACACTCTCTATTAAGCAGACACTTGGCAAGGTCCCGAAGGTGCCCGCTTAATAGAGGTTCCACTTTTACGTATTTTTAAACTTTTGGCATTCTGAACATCACTCATGTTCTTAAACTACTGTTGTAAATGGTAGCATTAACATGTATGACATTTAGTTTCCACAGAACTTGAGCAGGGGAAAAAATCCCAATTTCCATCAGGTACTGTACAGAACCTCTGTTAACCAACATCTCCAATAAGATTACATGCACCTCTTACTAACAGACACTCATCTGGGTTCACAGCAATTAAAAATCTTCATTAATCCAAACTATTGTAAGTAAAGACATCTTTTCTTGGTAACAAACATCCATATAGATCGGTCAAATCAGACCTGAAATTCTTGGCAGAATAGTTAGATCATAGCTATAGCAAATACTCCTCTCTCTATGGCAGTGGCGGATCTAGGGGAGGTGCCCGGGGGGCCCGGGCCCCCCTTTGTTTTTAGACCAAACTGAGGCCCGAAGGGCCCAAAAGAATTTTTCGAAGACCACCCCCCCTATCTCAGGGTCTGGATGACTGGGCCCCCCTTATCTGAAGGTCTGGATCCGCCACTGTATGGGGCACTTCAGTTGAACAGATGCTTTTCCAAATACTAAACAAGAAAACAAATTAAATAGTTAAAAGAACACGCATTTGTAATTAATTTTTTTTTTGTAAATAAATAAATATTAAAAAAAAAAATTAACATATAGAGGGAGAAAGGAGGATCGAGAGTGCACCAAAACTTGACCCACCAGTCAAATCACACAGCCAATAATGTACAAGAAAACTGAAGGGAAGTTTAATGATGATCAAATAAGGAAAAACAATCTTACTGTTGAATAATTACTTTTCCATGTTTGTTTTACTTCATGAAATTAAATAGCATATGCTCTACTTGATCGAATGACAGAGCATTTCCTTTTTTTCTAGAATGACATGCCTTTACTGTGAAAGAAGTTGAAGGAACAATTACAGCAGAAGAGGCTTTAAGGCACACTTATAAACTAATATTCAACCAAGACCTCAAAGAAATCAGGGAGTGGGGATTATTTACAGAGAGGGAAGGGCTATGAGAGGGAAGATACCATTTCCAAATTCTTTGGACCCTCCCCTTTCAGTTTTTACAGGACATATTTTTGACGAAACAACAAGAAGCCAAGTCAAAACTCCGATGGGTTACTTAAGTTGAATTAAAAATATTGATTCTACCATTCATTCATTGATGTACTGTTAAAGAAACGTATTAAAAAATCTTGAACAAACTCATTGACCTGACAGCCAACCTTTCCCAAGAAATAACTTGCAGATATCATGTAGATGAAGACTTCATAGTATCAATGGCTTCGAACCAAAACGCACAGTTTTAAAGCACATTTTCATTTGCAACCTTAATTACAAAGCATAAAATAAGTAAGCCTAAATAAATAAATAAATCTGACAGAATTATCAACAACAACAACAACAACAACAAAACTTTATTAATAATCACATAAACTCACAGAAGTATTGCCCGCAACTAGCAAGGCTATTCGAGGCGGGACCATGCGTGCAAAATATAAAAATAGAGACTAAGGCCATTAACATTATCATTCTCAGCAGAGGCCTGATTCAGCTCAGTGGCTAGGGCAAATTAAGAACAAGGTACTTGCCAGTCAAAGCCTCTAGTAAACACTGCAGCTTACTGAAGGGGTTGTGTCAAAATAGCCCCCTCCCTACCCCACTAATTTTGGCCCCCTGGCCTGATCTACCCACCCACTGTTAGGGCAGTCCATGGGCTATCCAGCTAAACCGACCAAGACGGCAAGCCTCCTACCTTTTTGGACACTGCAGGGCTCAAAATAATTTTTTTACGGTGGCCGGTCATGTTGACCGGCCAAAGGAACTTTAGCTCGGTCACGTCTCGTTTATGACCGGTCAAAATATTAAAAAAAAAACTAATTACGGCCTATTAACCCAAAAATATCATTTATTCGTTCGTTTAAAAGTGGCTTAATGTACAGAATGGCTTAAACCATCATCCTTTTTAATTCTTTTTTAATGTTGACTAGAACTGGCCTGTACTGAGTGAACAATGGCAATGCTCAAACTGACACTCTCTCTAAACCCTTACGGGGCTGCAAGTAACTTTAAATTTTCCTGTACTACAGCTTCAACATGTAGAAAAAAGAAACGAAACACTTATCTGCTTTATGATTGTGTAAGTTTAACAATTAAGTGACTGTTCATGTACATCTAGCCTCCTCGTGTATGTCCTCATATCCGATCGTAATGTCGCACTTGACTGGATCTGCTGTTCGTGGACTGCAAAGCTTAGTAGCCAGGCCTCTCAATCTGGGTATCCCGGATGTTTAACGTAAAGATAAATGGTAAAAAAAGACAGAAATAACTATAACAGTGTTACTTTTATGCTGCAGTGTTATTAATTTTGTTGTACTGACACTTCCATTCTTGACTTTGTACAGTTTTCTTTACTCAAGCTCATCCAGTTCTCTTATAAGACATTTTCGCCAAGATCTTCCTCTTGAACTGCATCCACGTTTTCCTCTTCTTCTGCACTCTCTTCTGTTGAGGAGTCATCAATAAGAACCTTCGACTTTTTCACAGCATCTCGACTCTTGTACCTCTTTCTGATGTTTTGGTTTGGTCGACGAGCAGCGCTTGAAAGCCATAACTGTATGGCTGGCGTCGAATCGTAATCCTGAAATGCTGGACCCTCCAGGCGGATTCTAACAAGATGGTTAAGGTTGCTCTCGCCGAGTGTTGCTCGACGATCTGTTTTAACACGATTCATTAGTGAGAACAGCCTTTCCACTTTCGCATTTGAAATGGGGATAGAAAAAAGAAGCTCGACCAAAGTGAGGACCATACTCCACTGATCCCTGCGGCTTGAGTCGAAGATTCTCCTCCAGACACGAAGGTAAGGTGTTCTGGAGGGATCAAGGTACCGTTTGGTGTAGGTGACAAGATCATGCCACTGCTCCAGCAAATCACCTACCGTTCCATTTAAGCCAGCCTTCGACAGCGGTTCTTTAAAATGGTTGTAGAGCTCAGTAATGCCGTCGTCTGCAAAGCTCAGATTCTCTTCACCATCTTCAGTTCGCTTCTCCCATCCTTCGCAATTTAGAACAGCGTTGGCAGGAAGGATGTGTCTGTTCTCTGCCACCTCCAGCCTTGTCTGCATAGCCTCCTTGATTCTGCCCAGCAGCATGTTCTTCGATCGTCTAGGAGATTCTTGAGCGGCTTCAAAAGGAGGGCAAGGTAACATTCTGATACTGGTATTCACCTTCAAGTTCTTGAACCTTTCCTAGGAAACGATTTACGGTGGGAAGATCCAGAAAATCCTTCCGCTCTAGGCGTTCTAGCTGCCTCTTGGCTGTCTCGATACGTCCAATGGAAGCGACGATGTCAATTTCATCATCCTGAAATGCAAGGGAAAGGGCCTTGGCAGGGCTCAGCAGCTCAATGAATAGGCATGCTATGAGTGGAACTCTTGCTTGCTGCCATTTTCTCAGCCATCCTTTAAATTTTTGGCGATCCGCTGCCTTAAACGATTTGTCCTCAGACATAGTTTGCACATGCTGGAGATACAGGCCAAATTTGTCCACCAGCAGCTGCAACGCAGTGAGCTTGTGGGTTATCCATCGGGTTCCTGAAGGAAAAAGAAATAACGTGGCACTTTTTTACACGCAAGGTTTGTTTTTAAGGCAATTAAAATACCTGCTTTGCGGTCATTATCGGTAGCTGCTAAAGGCGGGTGGGGGAAGAGGTGAGTGGCTGCAGCTGTATGGTATGTTCCATCTCATTTCAAAAGTCATTTAACTGTGAAGTATACATTAACTTGATTATAAGATATTCAGTGACTGAATTTGAAGTATCGTCTTGGTAGCATATAGTACGCTTTTACTTAATTATTTAATGCAAAAAAAGTTACCACATGCTCGCTTCGGGCGGATTCCTCCTTCCTCGAATTCAAATGCTTCGCCATAAATGCGGTGAAGATCACGTAGTTGTCGAAGCTTTTTTGGAGAATTTTCATAGAGGTAATAGAGGCGTAACAGCACTTCGTCTACGTCGTCAAAGATGGTACCCTGTAGAGCATCTTTGACAGAGAGTTCTAGTCGATGGGCCACGCACCAGCTGTAAATCACCCAGGGAAGATTACTATGAAGAATGCCTATAACCCCTTCTTTTTCTCCTCGGTTTACAGTGGCTCCGTCGGCAGCAAAACCAATTAACTTTTCAAAAGTCTCCCCTGTGATGCCGATGCATTGAAAGCTACTTCCTATGGCACCAACAATTCCTGCAGCATTACCATGTTTCAAGTCGACAAGCCTGTCAGGGTAAATATAAATAGATAAATAAATACTTAGATACATAAATATCCTGTGTAGCACTTTGTTGATGCAAAATCTGTTAGCTAAATTTTAAACATTTTCCACAATAGCTCGTGTTAATGTAAAAATTTAGTGAAAACAGGTATACTTTAACTAATGAAAAGACTGAGGACTATAGTATGGTGAAAGTGCACGGTCTGATTTCTTTGCTCACCTCAAAAATGAAGTAGCTACTTGAATTGTGTCACGTCCAGGTGGATTTGTTTCTAAGTACTGCACAAAGACCGCTTCCATTTCCGATACAGAAGCATCTTCGGAACCATCCGTCAGGACACTGAAAAATTTTACACTGGACAGCTGCTCCCTCAAATTCCTTTCCATTTCTTCTCCAATGTGGGCGATAAAAGTGCTGCAGCTCATGTCATTGCGATATGCTGTTCCAATAGTGACTCCATGCCTTTCTTCAAGTTGCAACAGTTTGGGGAATTTTGACAAAGGTAATTCTTCTTTCGCAATAAAGTATGCCACATCAAATTTAATTTTAGTGTTTGCAAGGTCACTTGCTTGCATGTTAACGATGCCAGTTGTGATAAGTTGCTGCCCAGCTTGATTAAAAGTCCTCATGCACTCTGCTCTTTCCATGGCACACTGACCTTTTTCTCCCTTCAGGTGCAAGTCCAACGCCTTCTTGTGTGGTTCCCCTCTAGCATGATCCTCGGCATTGCTAAGGCGAAGGTTGGTGGAACCGTGAAATGCCCAAGCGTTAGAAAAGTTTTTCATTCCTCTCACCTTGTCTGCGTAAGTTTTACACACGGAACAGTTTAAACTGGCTACATGACCTCCATTGGCATTGATCACCAGCGACTCACTTGCTAGGTGTGCAGCCAAATTTGTAGTTACCCAACGATTTGCAGCAACTACAGATAAATTTCTTGACTTCTTTGCAGAGGGAGCTGTCGCAGTGGGTGTTTCAGGTGATTTTTCAGTCGAAGTGGCAGATGTGATTGAATCTGAATTATCATCCTGATGCTTAGACTTTTTAGGTCTTTCCACTAGCGTAGAAGGTCTAATGGTTTTCCTTTTTAGGAAAGAAGATAGACTGGATTGTCTAGGTTTTGACAAGGTCAAAGTTTCAGAGACTTTACGTCGACAATTGCTTCCATGACACTCCTCGCATTTTCCAACAAGATACGTTTCCTCGCAATAACCAGGCGTTTCATCAGAACAAGACACTGAGCATACATTGCAAATCGGGGATTTACATCCGATACAACGGTACTTGATACTTTTTCGTCCACACTTTATACACTCCATTATTGAAAACTCGTCACTTACATCATGGCACATGTATTTTTGGAATGCAAATCTGTCACTTTACAAGAACACAACGTTCAATGTTTTCGTGAGACCTGTAACGAGGATTTTCGTATAACTAATCCACATACAGTTGAATAAATACTCATTCAATCCGCTTGCGTTAAAATGGAACGACTCGTGAGATCTCACCACCTTCAGAAAATGATTTGTCAAAGTCAAATTCCATTGGCGCCTCTGTAGCGCTGACGGTTACTTACAGTCAGGCATCAAGAGATCACCAGTTATTTTTTATAAGTCATGAGTTTTTCGTTTCATTTTTTTTTTCAATGAATTAACCGTCCGTAATGTATAGACTTTAAGCTTTTTGTATCACCGTTTCGAGCCAAGAAACAAATTTCATTTCTCAGAAAAGTGACAATCGGAAATTGTCCATAAAAATAGTTACAATTGGCAGCCGGGTTGACGGCGTGGGTGGTGCGTTTGCACGTGGGCCTCCAAAAGAGCCAGGTTTGCGGTCAAGAGAGAGGTTCGCGTTCAGCTGCGGTGGGAAAGCTCGATTTCTCAAAAAAGATGAATGGTCTCCCGGATTTGGTCCTTGCAATTATTTTTACCTACCTTCCAGATACTGAGCGAATCTGCACCTTAGCCTTGGTGTGCAAGAAGTGGTATGAAATTATCCACAGCAGTAGAGTATGGAAGAAAGTTGACTTTGCATATCAAAGAAGAATCAAGTCAACTATCCTGCAGAAATATGTTTATCCAGGAACACGACAAATAATCCTGAGCGAATGCTACTATTTGGGATAGGGAGATCTTTGTTCAATTCTAAGACAATGCAAGTATATAGATGTTTTTATTGTACCTTGGATTGGTTATAGGAAAGAAGTCGTTCCAGACTTCACTCGGACATTAAATATTGCGTGCTTGCAGTATTTAGAATTGAGTCACTGTAAAGTGACAGACTCATTATTCATCCAGCTTCCCTTAAAGTGCCTACTGTTGAAAATTTTTCTCCTGCAAGACTGCCAAGAGATAACCGAGAATGCTTACATGACTTCGCATTTTAAAATGCATGAACATCTCAGGATTCTCAACGTAGCACACAACAGATCGGCCCTTTCTCCGCGCTGCGTAATAGAACTGTTAAAATATACCAACGGCGAGGTAGTTTTGGACATTCGAGGACACCACTTCACAGAAGGAGACTTCCAAAGCATTTCTTATGAACACCCAGATGCAATGGCAAGAATAAAAGATATTGACGAATACTGCCACATGCTTTAGGCAAGAGGGAAATCTTTCTTGTAAATTAATTATATGCACCGCACAACCAGTCAACCGTGTCAACACAGCCAAAGATTTTTATTCGTTAATTCTGTATTGCTACAATATTTTAAACATTGTCCATTTGCGTTGTATTTTCCTCAAAGATAGACTCAGACGTTTATTGATCAACGATGAATGAAACTGAAAAGTGTTGTCTATTTCAGTGGCAGATGTTTATGTTAGCCGGGACATGTTTATTTATTTCAGCGGCTTAAAATGTCACAATCATGAAGCTGTGAAAGCTGTTAAATGAAGTGAATTATTTGACAATCTGTCTTCCAGAAACCTGGGGCCGCATGCCAGTTGTGTAATTTCCTATTCTTTTGTGAACTGTTTACAAAGAGAGACAAAATGTAATATGACAATTCAAGGGATTTCACTGTTTATTGAAGAAGGTATGCGTACGTGACCGGTCAACATGACCGGCGAGTGAAGTTTTTGGCCGGTCAAGTCGCCATTCTGGCCGGACATTGTCCGCTGACCGGCCGTTATTTTGAGCCCTGCACTGGACTGGCCTGGTGCCGGGCTGTGCCCGGCGCCAGGCAAAGACCTAGTGACCAGTCATTTTAACGAAATCAGACAGAAATATTGTTAAATAATATTATTATTACAGCCTCACATTATGCACATTCTCTTGACCTTATATGGTAAAATGACATAATAGTGGGATAATGAATAACAATATTGATCCTTCTCCTCAAGTGTGAAATATAAGTAAGGTGATTTTTACACTGTACATGTATTCAATAAGAAAAGTGATAATGTATAATTGTCACCTAGATACACAGCATGGTGATCTGGAGCCATTCAAAGGATGTTATTCAGTAACATCCACTGAAAGGTCCTTTTCCCCGCGGAGTAAGAAGAGGCTTGAATCATCAAAACATCCTTTAAACGGAGGCAGTGACATCTTCTTGTTTGAATTGATTGGAATCAATCGAGGAATGATCCAAAAAGTGGGACAAAATCTCTCACCAAAAATCAAACAAGTCGGATATAGACGATCGAAGTGCAGATGAATCACATTATTACACTTCGAGGCGAGCGTGACGTCATACGTTTACGAAATCCGACCGAAGATAAGAGGGCCTTTCGACGGATGTTAACGAGTGCTGACCATCCTACATAGCCCTACATAGCCATACACAGCCCTACGTAGCCATACATAGCCATACATAGCCATACATAGCCATATATAGGCATACACAGCCATACATAGCCCTACATAACCCTACATAGCCATACATAGCCCTACATATCCTACATAGGCATACATAGCCATACATAGCCATACATAGCCATACATAGCCATACACAGCCCTACATAGCCCTAAATATCCCTACATAGGCATACATAGCCCTACATAGCCATACATAGCCCTATATAGCCCTACATAGCCATACATAGCCCTACATAGCCATACACAGCCCTACATAGCCCTACATAGCCCTACATAGGCATACATAGCCATACATAGCCCTACGTAGCCATACATAGCCCTACATAATCCTACATAGGCATACATAGCCATACAAAGCCCTACATAGCCATACATAGCCATACACAGCCATACACAGCCCTACATAGCCCTAAATAGCCCTACATAGCCATACATAGCCCTACATAGCCATACATAGCCCTACATAGCCCTACATAGCCCTACATAGCCATACATAGCCATACATAGCCCTACGTAGCCATACATAGCCCTACATAATCCTACGTAGCCATACATAGCCATACAAAGCCCTACATAGCCATACATAGCCATACATAGCCATACATAGCCATACACAGCCATACACAGCCCTACATAGCCCTAAATAGCCCTACATAGCCATACATAGCCCTATATAGCCCTACATAGCCATACATAGCCCTACATAGCCCTACACAGCCCTACATAGCCCTACATAGTCCTACATAGACATACATAGCCATACATAGCCCTACGTAGCCATACATAGCCCTACATAGCCATACATAGCCATACACAGCCATACATAGCCCTACATAGCCCTACATAGGCATACATAGCCCTACATAGCCCTACATAGCCCTACACAGCCATACATAGCCATACACAGCCCTGCATAGCCATACATAGCCCTACACAGCCATACACACACATGCATGTATCTATGTAAATACTTGTATTCTGGTAGAACGTATTTCGTAGAGCGCTCAATTCATTCAATTGAAGAGCATTGAGTATGTATGTATGTATAGCACCGCATTTGCCTCGATTTCAAGTATGTCCCTCGTAATCGAGGCTTTTTTGTTCGCAGTCAATCGATTCAAAAAGAAAACCTTAAGAACACTCGAGGAAAACTTAAAGCTCGGGAGATATCCTGTTTCGTATAGACACAGGCGTCCCAAGCTCACGACTAAATCGATGAATTTACATTACAAAGCACAGGAAAACATCAAAGGCAAATATCCTTTATTTGTTTTATAGAAAAATAAGAAAGAATAATGATATTTAGCGTTCGCAGACCTCAGTATTTTATTTCTCATACAAAGTCTCAACGGTTGCTTGTAACGCGACACCGACGCTCTTGTGAGAAACTTAATTTACATAACACGCCCGTAACGTGAGCTTGGGAGGCCTGTGGTATAGAAAGCCACGTTTTTGCAAGCGAAGAGTATGAATTTATGCAAGTGAAGGTAAAAAGATTCCCATGAATTTAAGCGATACGTGTCTCAGAATATTTCAAGCAATTCATGGAAAACAACGGGAAATAAAGTCGGTGTTTTGGCTAAATTTGTATTCAGCTAGGCTTTGTTGTATTTATTGAATTAATAAATTGCTTTAGTTATAAAGAGCTTTAATGGAAAGTGTCATAAGGTTTGCCATGCGTTTACCTGGGGGCCATTTCATTTTTCTTACAACTTGAAAAATGAAAAATGAAAATTTTACTTCAATTTCATTGTTGATATTTGCTGAAAATTGAAAACGACTTTCGCAGCTCATCTTTCAAAATTCATTTTACATTTTTTCATGAAAATGAAAATGAAAGTTTTTTTTATTTCCCTTTTCAATTTTTTGTAAAAGATGAAAATTCAAAATTAACTAATTCATTATTTAAGAAAATGAAAATGTAAATTTTTCAAATTCATTTTTCAATTAGAAAACAAGAAAAAACATGAAAATTGAAACTTTATAAATCTAAAAAATGAAATCACGGGAAATAATTGAACTTCTGGAACGGACAATCTGTTTGTTTGTTTCTGACAGGTACTCATTTTCTTTGACCTCTGTTAAAGCAAGAGAGGATAAAGGGGACAGAGAAGGCATCCTCCATACACACCCTATTCCATAGGTAATTCGTCTCGCGTTATTTTTAAGACCACAGATCCCAAGGGGGATTAGACAACAGCCAATCACGTAGCGCAAATGTGTTCCGCGTGGATGACCCACGCTCAGAGCCACGCGTCCTTCACGAATTGAGGCAGAAAAAAATGGCGGAAGACGCGGAGAGCGATATTGATGTTCTTTTATGTCATTCCAAGTGCAGGACTGTGAACCGACTATGGCCGCGATGAACGATGATCTTATTAAACTACGTAATTGGTGTTTTAATAATAGGCTACTCCTGAACCCGGACAAGACTAAACTGATTGTGTATGGAAGTCGGCAAATGATATCGAAACTTCAGGATTTTCGCCT